TAACCTTTTGCATAAGAAAACTTTATATAGTAGCATAACCAGGGTACCAGGAGAATGGGGCTGGTCTTTTCTCAGTGGTGCCCAGTGACAGGACAAAAGGAAATGGGCACAAACTTGAGTATAAGAAGTTCCACCTAAAGATGAGGAGGAACTTCTTTACTGTGAGAGTGGTAGAGCCCTGGAACATGCTGCTCAGAGAGGTGGTGGAGTCTCCTTCTTTGGAAACATTCAAAACCCACCTGGACAAGTTCCTGTGCAACCAGCTCTAGGTAGACTTGCTCTGGCGGGGGGGGGTTGGACTAGATGATCTTCAGAGGTCCCTTTCAGCCCCCTATGATTCTGTAATAGTCTGGTCTACCTGCTTAGAAAGGTCTTAGTAGACTATGAGAAATACATGTCCTGTGATGCATTGTTTCTGGTGATTTTAGTGAAATTGCTGTTTAATCATACTTATCAGTTCAAACATGTCTACTAAATACCAATAGAACTGTGTGGCTACTTCACGGTATTTAAGGCATGGGACTGATTCACAGGTGAATCATCACAAGTGACCCTGAGCATTGAGTCAATAGGCACCAAGAGCATAAATCTACATTTACCGTTTTTCAGTGATACTACTTTCCTATATGGCATTACTGACCCAATTTAAAGATTGTCTTTCTGCTGCCAAGGTCTTGAAATGCCTTGAAGTTGGTAGCAGACGAAATGGTAATCCTTTGATTTCTTGAATAAAAGGATTTTGACTAGGGAGACCCAGCAGGGGTCTCATGCTGAGTAGCCAGCAAGGTTACTCAGCATGACAAACACTCCCAAGATTTTCAGAGCCTCAGTCCAAATATAACAAAACTAATCAATGTTGTTATACATGCACACACACAAAAAGAAAGGGCTCTAAATTTGTCTTATTTTAAGTTAGCCAGAGGCATTAAACTGGAAACACTGATGCCATAAGTTAGCTAAACATTCTGATAAACAGTTAGACAGCTTATTCCTTGGTTCTTTCCATCAGGAACATTTCCTACTTTATGAGCTGGGAGTAAATCTGTATGGAGTCTTCCCTGTCTGCAATTCTTCAATTCAAATCCCACAGAAATTACTAAAATATCCAATAAAATCTAAATTCTGGATTAAAATCTGAAGGCCAGAATTCCAATTTGTTTTATTGGGACACAAATAACATAAACAGGTACATATTGGCACTTTAAAATAATGGCGGCATTGCATTTAATTTCAATAAGCTCCTATGAACTACAGAAACAATGTAGTAACTACTTTTACACATGCCTGAATGACATCTTAAAATCCAGCTTCAAGAGTTCAGCTGCAGTAAGGTTTTACCAAGCTTTCTGAGCCTGAATAGGCAAATGTTTCAGAAAACATAGTTCAAGTATTCTTACTTAGAGTAATTGTAAACGTCTGCTTCCCTACGGCAGCGCAGCAAGAGGCCACCTCTAATGGATTTTTGGCTCAAGCTAACAATCCACCTCCCTCCCTATTGTGTGAGATAAGTAGCACCAACTTTGTTCTGTCACTTCATTTCAGGTGTACAAAGACCTTCTAGCTCTAAAAACCCACGACCTAGACAGGTAAAGTCATGTCAACCATGATGAGCTATCTTTGTTTTCAGAAAGCTTCTAATTTGTCCAGGTCTCAGTTGCAGGTGTTCTGCTGTTGAAACCACAGTGCAGGTAAGAGTTCTTACCTGTCTCAGGGATGTTAGTACCAAGGATGTGGTGGTGACCTTCAGTCTTTGCTCCAACACCTTCCCCTTCCTTATTTTGATGGCAGAACATTCACCCTTCCAGTTGGCAACTTTTGGAATAGTTAGAGCCAAAAAAGCTTAGCAGAGCCTGCTTTTTGGACAGTTATAAGGCAATGAAAACAAGGTAAAAACAGACCAGGAAGGGCATAAAGTGCACAGCAAGACAGAGGACTGCTGTGACCTACTCAGTTTTTGCAAACTTAAGGTATGTAATTCTATGTTAATGAGTGTTGTAGCTTCTTAATAACCCCATGGGGAGGAAAAAAAACCAGTAATAATTAGAAAAGAAGTTTTCTAATAAATGGGAAAACAATAATATTGGGAAAACAATAATATTGGGAAAACAATAATATTGGGAAAACAATAATATTGGGAAAACAATAATATTGGGAAAACAAGTTTTCGAGTACCTCTGCACTTCACCATCTATTCTCTATTAACTGCTCTCTTCCTTTGTTTGCTCAATCTTCTCTCTTGAGCAGATAAAAGGATTTCATTAAAGCAAAGCCTAATGCTGTCAGTGGCAGGAGAGCTGCCAACCCTCATGGTTTTAGTAGGTTTATTAAGCTGACCTAAGCATGCTACTACTTAATAAATTTCTTCTATTCACAGCAGTCCTCTGCAAATATTCCTTTATCTCATATGAAAAACTAAGTTATGCAATTCAAATGAGTAATGAAAAGACCAGACTGCACACTCCACCTTATCTTTATTTATAGTTCTGTCCCAAGAGAAGCAGCAGCACACCACCAGTCATAACCTCTGCTGTACCAGAATCACTTCTTGAGATTACAGAAAGGTGTAACAACAGCTGCATGGAAGTATTCCATTTCAGAGATTACTAAGAAACCACCACTAGACAATGAAAACAGAACTTTTTTATTCAAGGATTTCCTGCCATAGCCCATTTGAAGAACAGATGTTTTTAAACCTATCTGAAGGACATCTGTTATACCCATGTAGTATAGTTTATCTCTAATTATTCAGAGAAAAAAACCCTACACAACAGATTCTACAAATCACTAACATCTTCTGTCACTACCATAGCACCTAATATGGTAGAAAATAACAAGTGAACTACATAGCAATACTAGTTGGCATCACCACTCATCAACGTAAGAGCCTTTATCCTCCTTAATATCTTTTGACTTACTTCAGGGCTCTACAGTTATTACTTCGTGTCTAATTGGAAAAAAACCCTTTTAAATCAAGAAAGACTGAACGTTCATCTCTTATGTAAGAGAAGGAATCTGTAGTAGCAGAATTACCTATGAGGCTTCTAAAAGAAAAAACAAGAGTACTCAAGTCAAGAAGAGAACACCGAATTCTTCTGTCCTGAAAGATTAATGTCATTGTTTGCATAACGTAATAAATAAAAGGGGAGAGAGGGTGGGAAGGAGAGGGCCCCACCCTGATGTCTAATAGGAAACCACACTCAATAAGCAGTGTGACTTTAAGTGCACAATTACCTGAGAACTACTGTCAGACAAGTGTAGAAATGATAGTGGAGCAGTCCCACACCAACATTTCTCCAAAAAACATTGGCTAGCAATACCTGATTTTTTTTTCGAATCTCTGCTTTCAGGTCCTGCAAAAGGTACCGGAGACCTTCCTTGTTTTAGTTAAAGTTATCATACAGGTGGAAAAGTAATAAAAGGACCACAGTTCTGTGAATAGATGGGATTGTATTTCAAACTCAAAATGTAAACTGTCAAGATATGAGAAAAATAAGATGAATAAGGAAAAAAAAAAAAGGTTTAGCAGAGAAAAACTCATGAAACACATGCCTGCTATTATATTTAGTGTAGAATTTATACAGCTACTCCAGTGAAGCTAACAATACATCAGCAACTTTGCACATAAGCAAAACACCTACTGAGGAAAACAAACCAGCCTTCTTCAAGGACCATCTTTCTGCTTTCCAGAGAAAAAAGAAATTATGCTGAAGCCACCTACAGCAATTGTGCTGTTTAGCCATAGCTGTGGTGAAGCCTTCAAATAAAGGACAGTTTGGCAGTTAGACAGTGATGAATTAGTCTTCTTCACAATCACCTGAGTATACCCCTCATTAATTTATCCATATAATTTATTTCATTAATTCATTCAATACCCTTGCAAGGCAAAAGAGTACTTACACTAGATAATGCAACAGCCTGCAGATCTCTTCTCACACAGCTCAGTTCTCCTGTTCTACTGCATGGGAACACCCGCTTGTCAGAGAACAGCAAATACAGATGAGTTAGAGCATGAAGAAGCAAAGGAAATTCTCTCCTGAAGAGAGAAAGAATGAACTTACTTTATAAGAGAAATACAGCACTACTTTTTCCTATTCCTTTTAAATAAACACTCTTAGAATCTCATCTGAAATGTGATGCTGTTTAACACACCCGTCTAATGAAGGAGAAAGATGTGAATTTAGAGGCAGAATGATTGAAGTCTAAGAGCTCAGATTTTTAGCACAGCACTGGGTATTTCTGCATTCATATTCTTTAAGCTTATGGAAAAAACCAAAAATTAAGGACCTTGACAAAAATCTAGTTTGCCAGAGAAGTCTATACAAATATCAAAAGAAAAGAAAATACAATAATCACAGAGAACATCAATGTATTTTACAGATTCTCCTCTAGTTCTATCTTGCTATCAAATGATTGCAGTTCTGGTAAACGTTGTAGTAGGAAAGGACTGTGTGCAACAGAACTTGTAACATCTGTCCTGCAACTTATGTTTGTGTAAGAATGGTAAATTTTCAGTAACAAATTATCTCTTAAAAACTGACGTATTTGTAAAACCTGTTACCATTTTTTCTTCAATTACTAACTCTAGGTACCATCAACACGTAAAGGTAACATGGCAATAAAACCATTATTTCATAAGAAATTCACAGCATTCTTTTTCACAACTGTTGATTTATATAGGTGGACCTTAAACTGCTAGACAACATGATTAATATACCAGAAAAGAAGGTAAGAAGTAGGTCAGTGATATAGCACAATGGTTCTCCATCTCAACTCGCCTCCCTGCTTCCAACTTGAAGCATAACATTAATTCCTCGTGTTTCGGAGCACTAAATGACACTGTAACTAGATGCAGAAGACAAGAATTATCAGACATTATCCACCCTTGATCTTTACACAAAATTCCCATGAGATATCTAGAAATTCCACAGCTGCACAAACCAGAATAAGGTCCATTGCAAACACAGCTTTCAGGTTTTGCTCTTCAATAAATATCACAAGTGTAAGAGAGACAGTGAATGTTAACATTTTATTTGTTTTAAACATATAAAGCTTATAACTCTCTGAAACAATTCTTTTAGAACCATCTTGTGGGGAAAACAAGCAGTTTAAAACAATACTTGTACTCTAATTAGTTTCTACCAAAAACATCATTGTTCAGTATGACATCTTCTAGTACTCTTTTAAAAAAATAAATGTCTCAGTCACACTGTAAACTTTATACAACATTGTTTAAAGCATTGGAACATGAAGCAAATGCCTTTATAAACAATCATGTGTTAAAGATTGGTTCTAGATAGAAAAAAATATATATCATGAAGTTAAAGATGCTGTTTTTCTGAAGAATGCCTTTAGGACAGATCCTGTTCAAACTCCATCCATTGGCAGCCCATGAAAAAAGCGCAAAAACCTAGAGAAGCTGAGATTTCTTTCAGAGCTTGCTTGGCCAAATGAATAAATCAGATGGATTATTCATTCTAACTAAAATACAGTGACCCCATCCCCAAATAAATCTAAATATAGTAGGAGATTCAGCACTCAAGGTTGAAATGCTTTTGTTCTTTAACATCCTTAGTATTGCCAATTTATGTAAAGTTTTGGTAATCTTCTACTAGTTCTGAAGGACTTTACAACAGTTGTTTATAAAGAACTCATTAAATGACATTTTTCTGTTTCTGTACACTTAAATGAAGTACACGGTTGGGCAGTCAATTTCATAATAATTGAAGTCATGATGCAGGCTTCAGCTACCGAGGGCAATCAAACATCAGCTGCTGCTTAATCTATGTGTCTTATCTACAACACAAAGTGCTTAAACTTTACCCTAGGGAACAAAAGCTCACATGTAGTCCATGTATCTTACTCGGTTTTAAGTTATCCCCAATTGAAATACTTCATTTACATAGAACATTGAAGCGTATCACATCACATTTATCCAACATGTAATTATCTTCTATTAATACAAAAGTAAAACAGAATGTCACAGAACGCTTTCACAAAGTGCACAATTTAGAGGTGTCACTTTTTGGAGCTGTTACGATCAGTGTACAGTAGAGACTAGCAGGCACCTCTGTTAATTTCTGTTTTTTAAATAAGGAAATTTGACAACAAAAGGGTCCTATGGTACCCAAAGCCTCTGACAGCCGCGACTAAACAGAACATAATAGCATCCAGATCTATAACCAGACAATTTCGCTAAGGCAAGCACAAGTATATTTTTAATTTTACACTTCTACCAAACTTCGAGTGAAAGAAGGTGTATATGTGCGCTTACAGCTTTCCTTCGTCCTTAAAGATGATGAGATCCACCTTCTCCACATCCTCTTTAAACTTTAGAAAGCAGCCCTGACTCAGGGGCACTTGCCTTAATGAGATTTTGGATTTCTTTGAATTTTGGATGTTCTTTATCAGCTACCAGCTGCAGCAATATAGCTTCGCTAGTAGTAACTATAATTCCAGTACGAGCAAGACGCTGAAAGAAAAAAGAGCAGACAGAGAATAACATGAGATACATGTATATTTGAATGAGTATGCATTTTGTAAAAAAGATAGATGGTGCTTTTAAAAACATCTGCTATTAACAAAAGTATTGCCAATTCCATTCCAGCATTTCTTAGCAGTATCATTTATAAACCAAGGATGGAAAGGGACTGTTTTCAGACTTCACTGAGGAAAAAGGCTGCCCTGGGTTACAAATCGGGCTTCCTACTGGGACTGGATTCTTTCCCCATGTCAGATTTAATATGCAGAGGACACCCCCTCTTCTACTAACACCACTTTTCCCTGGCATGGTCCTAAGGATAGCTTTTCTTCACCCTCATGCAGATTTTAAAGGCCTGGAGAAAAAGAAAATAGTAAGGTCCATCAAAGCAAAAGGCATTAAGCAAGACACTTAATTGTAACAATTTCTCTTTCAGGGCTTTTTATGTACTAGTACTTTGGTCTTTGGACTACACAGCCTGCTAGTACTAATAATCTCAGGAGACGGAACAAAAAGCTCTTCTGCAGACCTTATAAATCATACTGGAACAACAGCAGCTCCGTTTAACCAACATCTCATTACAGCCTCAGTAACTCCAGATTTAGTTCTCAGAGGCTGAAGAATAAAAAAAGCGTGCCCAGAAAGCAAAACTGAAAGAGGCCTGGTAGACCTTGTAAGTGTGCAACTAAACACAGCCATGCTTCATGCAGCCCAAGGCACAGGACTTACTGCAGATTTTCTGGGCTTTTAAGATTGTGGCTGTTGCCTACGTAGCAAAGTTATCTTTAGTTAAAAGGCTGACCACCCCCTGCCCCCCTCAGCTTCCCAGCCATCGTACAGACGCTTTGGCATCACAACTCTCTCCCTCCCCCACCCTCTACTCAGCTGCACGCTCCACCAACTCTAACGGGGTCCTACATGAGCCACGGGAGGGCAGGAGGCAGAAAATACAGATATGTCCACTTCAGACAGCTTTCAACTGTAATTACTAAAGCAAAGAGAAAGTCAGAACTTTTTAGGGCAGACACATCTGTTTAGTTGTTCAATTACAAAGCGATTGCTTGGGGGGAAGTTACTAATCTTAGGGGACCAGTAAAGTACATGTAACTACAGTCTATATAACAATAAGCCTACCAGGCTACATTTACTAAAGTCAATGCTTCCTGCTTGCAATTATGGCAGCAAGCCTGGCGATAATTCTTAAGTTGAAAGAAAGCAGATAGCATCCCCAGCTCTCCTACTCTGTACAATGACATGTTTGTTTAAACTACATACCCATGCAAAAGAGAAAAATAGGAAAATAAAAATGAAATATTATGGCAATATTTTCAAGATGTACTTCTGCAGGAATACAAAATTTTTTCTTTTAACTAGTATGGATGAGAAAAAAAACAGACTGTAAAAGAATCCTGTCTTCTGAGAAACGCTGATTGAAAAAAGATAATGTTTTCTCTTTAAAACCAAAACATACCATAACATGTCAAAGAGGCTGGCACTGGCTTATACTCTACTTCTAGGACTAAGTATAATTTATATAGTATTGAGATTAGTAGGAATGAAGAGGTACATGTGCTAAGCATACTGGATGCTTTTCCAAGGAAAGGGAAAATTTTCATCTGAAAGACTATGTTCTAAGAAGGAAAGCAGCAAGTGTGTGTTACATCCACGCTGCAGGAACAAGTAGAACAGATGTAGAACAAAAGAAATCCAGCAGGAACAGGTTCAGTCCAAGACCAAGGAGTGACACAACGCATTTTCATCAGATAGGGCAGAGATTAAGAACAGCCACAATCTTGGCCAATTGGGTTGAATTATTTCACCAATGGAAACGTTAAGGTTTTTTGGTGTGCGCTTTTTTTTTTTATTGCAGGCCTTTGCCTGCTGTGATTTTTAAGCATAAAACAGAAGTGGAGACAATAACTCTTTTAGGTTATCAAAGCAGACATGGAAGCTTTGGCTGTCAATTAATTCAAACTAAGTGCACTTCCTAAGTACACCTTTTCAGGTATTTGCATTTTTGTCACCAGCACCATCAAAACACATGGTATGTGAGGGGAAAAGTGGAGAACTGAAGGGTTGGGTGGGACCCGACAGGATTTATTTGAGACTGCTGAGGAAGATACTTGTTATCACTGCAAGGTCACTCTGTATGATCCTTGAAAGGTCACTCTGACCAGACGAGGGCTGTGTTACTGGGGCAAGGTAAATGTTACACCCATCTTCCCAAAAAGGCAAGGAGAAGGATAGAGGGAACCTGGATCAGTGAACCTCAGGTCACCAGTTCTCACTTTGCCCAGAGAAGCTGTGGATGCCCCATCCCTGGCAGTGTTCAAGGCCAGGCTGGATGGGGCCTTGAGCAACCTGGCGTAGGGAGAGGTGCTCCTGCCCCGGGGCAGGGGGGTTGGAACTACATGATCTTTAAGGTCCCTTCCAACTCTAACCGTTCTATGATATGGAGCAAGTTTGCACAAGAGATAGAGTCACTAATGAAAAGAGTATGACTAGGAACTATCAAGCTGTACAGTGAGATTAAAGCAGAACTACCCAGTGCTTTGGTATTTTGCCAGCTTCCCTAAGAAACATATCACCATGGTCAATCAGGGCTACTGTCATGCCCAGTGCATGTGCCCCTTTCTTGTGGCCTCCTGCTCCAAGAATGACCACCTCTTACCTGCTCCAGCCCGCAGTCCTCAGTAGCATTTTTAAGGGAAGCATTTTGTGCCCTATAGCACAAAAAGGAGACAATGTTGGCATGCAGCCACAGAGAATGAGGAGGAGTTTCTGCCACATAACTGGCTGGCTCATCACAGCAAGCCAGCAAACGTTCCCAGAACCATAGTTTAATGACGAATACTTAAAGGACCACAGCAAAACATTGCCTTTGTGCTTGTTGAGAAAACAGTGCAAAGGCATATTATAAAACTACCTAAAACTGACCAATTTGCCTGGATTACAGCTTTTGCAATCAACTGCGCTTTTAAGATGATTGATACCTTTTTTACTAGAAAGAGAAGTAAAGCCAGCTACTCACTGTTTTAACCTCTATTACAGTGAACCAACTTCTGTGCATGCAGACATAGTGTTAAGTGATAATCAAATGTAGAAAGACGTACACAATAATGCAAAGAGATTTCAGTTTTTTCTACATTTGCTTTGTGTACCACTGCTGCTGTCCCACATTGACTTGGGAAGCCCATGATTTCAGTCCTTCCTGCACTCTGCGTGCGTCACTACACTTTACGTGACAGACGACACTAAGCTTTCACTTAATGAAAGTCATGGGTTTCATCAAATGCTATATGCTGGTGATTCCCCTTTAGCCTTTAATTCTCTTTTTCATGAGAAACAGAAGAAATTAAAAGTCTTCTCCAAATCTATGAAAGAAGTATAAAATGATGTACTTTTTAGTTCCAGTTTCCAAATAATTGCTAGGGCATTAGGCAAAAATTGCAATACTTAATGTATAGATCATTTTTTGATTTCCAACAGTGATGCCTGTAAACAAGTTAGAGTACACTATAAAAAAAATTGTTTGCATGAAATTTGCTACCACATAGCTGTAACGTGCTTTTAAATCTTGTTACAGTTTATCTCCATTTTCTCAACATTCAGTTAGACTAAGCTCCTAAAAGGGGGGGGCAGGGGAAATCTTTACTATAATCACAGAGTCTTGAGATTAAGCTTTGATTTGCACAGATGAGGAATAACAAAGGGAGGGACAGACATACAAGAAGGAGCTTTGAACATGATCACTTACTGTATTCCATTGCAGCACAAATACTGTTTGGAACAACAAAAACAAAAGCTCTGTAGCACTTTTACTCTGCTGTACAGACAACACTCCATATGAAAATATCCTAAAATGCTAATAGTTACAGAGATTGTAACCTAGATTGCATGAAAAAAACACGTTTAAAATCCAGTGCCAGACTGGGTTCCACATATTCAACCATAATTTAGGGAGGAAAAATAAGGCAGTAATCCTTCTCCATCCTGGAAACTATTCTGAGTATCAGAGTGTTCACCTCTTCTCAAGTCTACATTTGTCCACAGCTTACTGTCCTTAGAAATTCCTTGTTAGCTCACAATCAGCAGGGAAATGAACATAAAGACTCAAGGTGAAAAAAGGCTTCACTGAGAAACTTACCTCAAGAGCAAACATTCTGTCCATCATACTTCTTGAGGAGGTGGCATCAGCTACAATATGAACTTCCAGACCTCTGCCAATTAATTCCAATGCTGTTTGCTGGATGCAGACATGAGTCTACAGGGAAGAAATCAAAGGCAAAAAAACCACCAACAACCATTATTATAAAACATGAGTAGCATAATGCCAAATTAGAGTGCATAATTTACTAGGGTTCAAACATGTATTTTTCTACCCTTGAAATTACTAGGGAACTCAATGTGGGTTTTAAATGCCAACCAAGCTTGAGACAAGAGCCTGCAGTTTACACATATCTCATTTCAAATTTTATTATGAGAAAATATCAAAGACAAATAACACAAGAATAATTTAATCTGTAGAGGATATCTGAGCTCCAAGCAATATAAATTGACTTTTATTTTTTTTTAATTGCAGAAAGCAATGCTTAATACTATTGTGGGCCAACAGACATTACCATAAAACAGTACTAGCAGAGCAAGGCACGTACTTCTACTCCAAACAGGACAACGCTGCGGACTCCAGGGATTTCCGCTAATGCTGCTTCAACTTCTGGCAATACCATTGAAAATTTTGTTTTGGGAAGCACAAGTTTAGCTCCTGTTAAATCAATTTCTTGCACAGTGCTGCCAAGACCTTTGGGATACTGTTCAGTTACAATAACTGGAATTCCTAAGAGCCGAGCACCTTGGAGCTGCAAGAGGGCAGAGAAGAAAGAGTACAAGAAGAGACATCGTGTTAAAAAATAATAGCATAGACACTGTTATTACCTGAAACAGTAAACTGGCTGTGTATAAAATAATAATTTACATGTGTGAGCAAAACTCATTACAAGAAAAAAAAAAAAAAAAGGCAAAACCCATACCAGTCTTTGGCCCACACTGATGATATCACCAAAGTACTTGATGGCAGGCCGGAATCGTTCTTGCATATCACAACAGAAAAACACAGTGCTTGAGGGTGTCAGATTACCCAAAGTAGTCATCTGAAAAACAAAATAAAGACAGTGTTTTCCGTGACAGTGAAGATCATTTCAGAAAAGCAGCAGAGTGAGAAAGATTCTGCAATGCCTCTGCCAGGTACCAGATTTGTGTTACTAAGTCAAAATAGGATAAAAGTTTTTCAAGCCTGATTTTGGTATGTTTCTAAATTCAGATGAACAGCTGATCCTAAGCAGTATAACACAGTCATTAATAGGTAATCAAAATCTTATTCGGTGGGAGACACAAGTAAATGTCCATAGAAAATTCTGAACCCTGAAGGGGGGTGGAAGAGCATACTGCCTAAAGTACGTACACATATTTTCAATAGTTTCATTGTGTAGTCAGTTTGGTTTTTCTATGACATCTTTTAGCAGAAGTCTGAAATGAAAGCAGAGAAGTTTGTCAGTATTATGACCAGAAACTGAACTGAACACATTTTAATAATAGAAAAAATCTCCCAGTTTCCCTCCTACAGGCTACAGAGTGGGGCAGAAGTGGGAGGAGGGTGAGGGGTAAGAAAAAAGAAATCAAAGATTGTGTTTTCTCACACTTTCAAAGAGTGCTTTGTATTATTTTGAAATTACTTGCACTACCTGCTGAAGAAAAGGATAAAGCTTCAGCTGAAGGCTAGAGGGAAAGAAAGCAGCTATATACTATCATTTAGTTATAAGGCAACTCAAGAGAAATTACATCCATTCAGGATACCGTAATTGGAATAGACAATATTTATAAGTGTGCCTCCTACTCAGAAAAGGTGTCATTTTGTCTTGGCATTTGTATGACAAGCAAAGACCATTATTTTCTTCTATAAAACATTCCACCACTTTATTTTTTTTAAGATCATTTTGAACTACTGCAAACCATCACAGAATGGTTAGGGTTGGAAGGGACATTAAAGATCATCGAGTTCCAACCCCCCTGCCCTGGGCAGGGACACCTCCCACTAGAGCAGGTTGCTCAAAGCCCCATCCAGCCTGGTCTTGAACACTTCCATGGAAGGGGCATCCACAACTTCCCTGGGCAACCTGTTCCAGTGCCTCACTGAGTAAAGTGAGTTTCTTCCTAATATCTAATCTAATAATTGATTGTGGAGTGATCTATGTGGAGTTAGTCTACTGCCTCATTGTACATCTTCCTAGGCCAAGGCAGTGGATGGCAGTACCATCCTTAGCAGAGGAACACGAATGAATAGACTAGGAAGGCCTTCAAAAGCTGCATAGTCTGCTTCTACAAAAGGATCAACAAAACACAAATATTCTTTACAGATATGTACCTGGTCTAACCCATCAACAATACACAATTTACAGAGCTCCTATACAATACATCCCGCAGCTCTTGTTATCTTTACCTTGCTCTGTTTTCTCACCCACAGTTCCTTTGTTGCCATTTAAGAGCATTATTTCCAGTTCTGTTCATGGTGGATTCTAAATGCAAGAGCATTACGATGCTCCTTCACATGCATAACCATGCACGAACATCTATTACCATACCTCAAGACTCAGATCTGGTCTCCCTGTAGTCCCTGCCCTCCCCTCCCTTATTCTAAAAGGTATCTAATACTTTCAATCTTTCCTCCTACAACTCAAATAATAATTTCCATTGCCCTCTCTTGAGTGCTTTTCAAATTGCATTCAGCAGTGAGGCACCCAATATTACTATAACAGTAGTATTTCTCTGCCTATACTACTTCTCAGCACTAGTAGAGCCTCAGAGAAGACTGGACAATTCACAGCCCTTGCAAGCCCTGTTCAATTTGTACTTTCCAGTATGCTATTTGCTCTTTTCATAATTTGTGATACTTAGACTCCTGAGATGCATTTTAACCTCATCTTTTATTTGTGTAGTTGATTACTTCTACCTTAGCATAGGAATTATTTCTGCCTTTGTTGCTTCCATTTTGAACTGCAACTCAACAACTCGACATCAAAAGCCTGAATTCTGCTCTCTCAGGTGCCTGCAGCTCCTCCCAACTTGGCACCTTCTGCCAAAACAGTATTTTCACAAATGACACAGATGACAGAATATTTACAAACAGTGGATTTGGAACAGACCTTACAAAGCACAATCCAGTATTATTCTGATTTGACAGCAAAGCACAGAAGAAAACCCACTGCCTTTCCAGCCAGGGAGCACCCCCATTACAGACTTCCACTGACTCCATAATCCCACGTGTTTATGACAAACATCACAGGGAGCTGGAGCAAAAGACTTACATATCCTTTCCTCTATTATCAATATGAGTTAATTTATGCCTTCACTTTGATACCGTCGGCACTCTGAAATAAAGTTGAGTCAAGTACATATTTTCTAAATAAAAGCTTTTGCAAAATCTGACAACAATAATTCCTATATTGATTTTCACATTTGTACCTGGTTAACTTGCAGTCTGAATCGAACCACACAACATGTGGCAGAAGAAGAAAAAACCAGAAGAAATAGGTGCCAAGATCAAAAAAAAATCAACACTTGCTGGTGTTACTTGGAATAGCAGATGTGGGAAGCACAGACCGCAGCAGAAAGTGGTTTGAAATTAAGTTTCCTAAAAAGTAGATAATGCAGTCCATAAATAAATAGAAATATTTGCCGTGTATAAAGGAAAGCTTCCATTTACTGGTTCATCAATGTGCCATGTAAATCCTACCACTTGCTCTGAAAGCCACTCTCCCTTTCCATGGCCACACCAGGTTGGGGGAACGGGACACCTCCACCTCACACGTTCCCTGAGGGTGACAACCACGACTGCTCGCACTGCTTCAGCCCTGCACCCCACCAGTGGGCTGGGGTGGGGGCAAACCTGCACCCAGACATCAAACCCTGGGCCCCCACCTGGTTGCTTTCGCTGAGAGGAGAAACAGGCTGGGAAAGGATGGTGAGCCACTGCAACCACACGGTGCCTGTCCAAATCCACCCCCACTGTAACATCTACTCAGCTGGGACATCATTAAACAACCTAAATTTAAAATAAAAAAAAAAAAAAACAAACCCAAGAAACCACCACCCAACCCCAGACCACCTGAAGTTCCTCCCCACAGTACATGAGCTTTTCCATTTCTTTTAGCTTCACCGCTCTCAGTTAGGCCTTCCGTCCCTCCAGCTGGAAGTTATCCACAACACAACCAGAATAGGCATGTCAGGTGGACACGTAACCTGATGCAGCTCTTCTACTCAGCTAGAGAAGTCATCTCTAGGACCTTGTCCAGACCAGGATTTAAAGGTATGCTGTTACGAGTTACATACAGCTTTAAATCCTACTCTAGAAAAGGCCTAGGTGGGAAAGGGCAGGTGTTTTTTTTTTCACATCTATTTCATCTATGCTGATTATTATTAATCATACATAAATGTGACTGTGGTCAAATACTGTAATTACAGAATTGACTTTACAAAAATATGCACATCTGTGCTTTCCCTGTTCAAACTTCAAGGAACCATTGCACATACAAAATGCAATTTTCCCCCTGTATTTGTAATGAACAAGAAAATGGAAGCAGAGAAATAATCTCATATGACATCACTAGTCATCTCATAAATCTCTTGCCAAGGTTACCCACTAAAAGGGCAGAGCAGAGGACCTTGCAGCCTTGATATTTCAGGGATGGCGTACAAAGACAACAACCAAAACAATCATATTTTCTTCTCCTTTATTTCTAAAAGGAAACCTGTAAGACTCAGTTCTACTTCGCTGCTAATTGTTCAAATGAAAAAAGAAAAAAAAAGAAGAAATTCAGTTTAACATATTTCAAGGGGAAAACAGGTTACAAATGCTTCAACTTAGGAACATAAATATTTATTTAATGCTAAGCCAAAGTGCAGCTTTTTATATGTAATTCAGCCTTTAAAAAAGACAAATATAGTTAGATAAGCACATGATGTTCATATAAGACGGTACAACATTCTTCATCAAAATCCAAAATAATCAAAATGCTTGCTGCAAAGATAAACAAACAAGGAGTCTGGATTTGAAGAAACCTCTCTTTAAATATTTTCTGGCCTCTTTTTTTGTCCTTCTTTAAGGTTCCAAGTGCTGTTTTTTAAAAATGTATTTATTTAGAAATATTTTTAATAGCAGTAATGTGTCAGAATTTATAATTACATTTTTTTTTTTAAAAAGAAAAAAAAGCAAGCAACTGCCCTCACCTGATTCTTATCCTGCAATTTATGCTTTGGCTTTTCCTGGTCTCCAGGAAATGAACTTAAGCTCCTGAGTTAATGTTACTCCTATTTGCAAAGCATCTGAATGTAGCAACACTAGGTATGTGTAAAAAGAGTGCAAAGCTGTGTATTAAACAGTTCTATTTTATTTACCTTACCTTTCAGCAACAATCAAGTAACATTCTGCAAACAGCTTTTCTGCAAGAAGGATACACCTGGGATGCCAACATGTCTTTTTTTAAAAACACCCTGAAGTAGAGGTGCTTTATGCAATGACTTCGATAATGATTTTAACCTCTTAGCTCTAAGCATCGTAAGGTTGCAAGTTTGTAAATGCAGAGCACTGCTGAAGAGAAGTCACCTTGAAGTTATGACAGTGACTGTGTAATAGCCTCTCTCGGGCATACGTTCGACTGCTGCCTGCATTCCCCTATTACACGGCTGTAACCAGCATAGCTCTCTTGTATTCTGGTATATCCCAAAGTGTTTTTCCTTACTGCTTCTCACCTCCAAAGGCAGCTGCAAGTCACAGCAAAACACAGTATCAGTAGCACTAGTTAACTGCATTTAGAGTTTGAAGAGGTTAAAGTGGTCCTGCATTCCCCCGCCACGACTATAAATATTATTCTGTTAAAACTTTTGAAGCATCTAAAATCCATGAAAAGCAGAAGGCTCCTTTCTGCTAGTACTCAGCCCCTCAAGTTGCAAGTAAATGCCCTTCTCAGCGGCTGGGAGAGCCCAAAGGAGAAGTCCCTCCTGACTGCCAGTCTGTGGTTGAGGAGTTTGAGAGCAGCAGCCGGACCATGAGGGTTTACTGCATCCCACCAGCCTGCCTAACACTGGGTGGCCACTAAAAGTTCACGTAGCTGTTCTGCGGCAGGACATCTCAACCAAACAAATCTACATACAGAAGCACAGTATAAAGGCCCAAATAAGTCTGGAGAGCCAATGTCCCTGTACAGATCAAGCCTTGAATTCAGCTGCATGGCGTGGCTTTCTAGGGGCAGCTCACGGCGGTTTCTCCATGAGATTACTGCCCCCCTCAACTGCAGGGACAGGAAACTGAAACAGCCCAGTCAGACAGCATTCGGTACTGACGCTTCTTGACCTACTGCAACAAGATGACATCCTTCCGTAACGGGTCTGCACAGGAATCAAATCAGGAGGATATCACTCCAGAGCCCAAAGGCACTACCACCCTAGGGGTTAAAAGAGCATCTCTAAATAAACAGACATACATTTTACAAAGTATGCACGTAAAACTACTGAAATTATTGTCTAGAGATACAGATGCTGATCTCTGTGAATCTTAATATTAAAACCAATGGGTCTTTCAAAATACACAAGTCTAATCACATCAGTGAGCAAAGGCTGTCCCTCTTGCAAGACACATTCAAAAAGGTATTCTTTCAACCGACTATATGCCACATGTAGAGTTGACAAACCTATGTCATGTGTAACTGCAGATAAAACGTCAGGGGGGGAAAGAAGGGAACACAGCAGGGCATGAATCAACATATGCGAAGAAAGTATAATCTTCCCATCAGTACATCCTAAAGGTCTTAAAAAGCGCAGCTGTGACTGCATCAGAACAAATGTTCCCCAAACAAGTGATCTCCGAGCACCTGCCGGTGGCTTAAGGCGAGCTGACTGACATCACTGTCATGTCTCCAGCTCATTCCCAGCTGCCGAAGCACATCAAGGAGGCAACTGAAATAATACACACCTACTGTCCTCCTCATATCAACAGTTGCTATTGTCACAGTAACTGCAACAGTATCAGTGAAAGCAGCTAATCGATTCGGCAATTAATGCATTAAATATTGGTTCATCCCGAATCGCTGCAGCCAGCCAAAGCTGCGTAGAGCACCTGCACCCTGGGAATGACGTATCCTTCCGTGTCTCAACACTGACCTTTTACGCCGAGGCGTAGGTCCTGCTATGAATGCTCAGGCTGCACTTACAGTTACAGTTTCAGTGCAGAAGACATCTGCAAAAGAGTCTGTGCAGAGCAGCGGTCTGCACACACAAAAAGAAACAAAATTCCAACCCACATCACTGTTAACACGCAGAGACTACACAAATTGACACCCATACCAACTCCTTTTGCAAGCTGGAGAGACAGTCCTTTCCAGTTTCTCTGGCTGGGCCCTCATCCATTCTGTTTCCAACACACAAAGCTGAAAGGTTTTAAACCAAATACGATGACAGACAAATGGCAAAATGAGCAATAAATGACAAAATAAGTTATTAAGCTAGTTTGGTCTTCTTAACCACTCTTTCCATGCATAGGGTTAAGGAAAGGCCAAAAGATTCCAAAGGCATCTTGATGCACAGTCTAAGCGAAGAGGCCACCTTGAGAGTTTATGGGCTCAAGACACTACAATTAAGCAGAGTTTACAAACAGTATGAATTAGACTGTTTCTGGAGACGTAAAGAGAAGACAAGCAATGTTATTAGTAACGTTGGCTCAACAAACTAGAACTTCATAATTATAAATTAAAAACAATGTTCTGAATTAAAAAAATAACTGTGTTTTCTTTTTCTTAGAAAAAACCAAAACATCGACTCTGACAATGGAAAAAGGAAAAAGCAATTTTGCTTCAAGTGGCACTATTACAGCAGGACTGGCACAGATCTCCACTGTGTATAAAGACACCTTAGTATGAAACACACGTCCTGTATCTGTCTGGCAGCCCGGTCTCCTGGTTCATTGCCGCAAAACTAGTGGGTTACAAACGCGCAAACCGGAGAGTGAACCCGCTCTGGCCGGGGGGGCTGAGACTGGACGATCTCCCAAGGTCCCTCTGAGGCAGGAAAGCATCTAGAAATCCTGGAGACCTAGGAGCCGTGACACCCGGCTGTGGCAGAGCCTTCTACACCCGCACCCTTCGAGCTTCCACCCAGCAGCACGACCTCGGGGGAAGGCCGGGGAGCACCAGCCGCCGGTTTTGCAGCAGAAGTACTTATTCTCTCATCCAGCGGGCCGTTCCCCCATTCCCGGAGCCGAGGAAGTTCCGACCGGCCGCAGGCAAAGCCCGGGGACCAACCGCGGGCGGAGCGGGGCGCGCCTGCCTTCGCGAAACTAAAGTTTCCCGGGAGGAACAAGCCCATGCGGGTGTTGCGGGGGCTCTGCCCGCGGCTGCGGGACCCCCCCGGCCCCCCCCGGGCAGGGCTGCGGGGGCGGGACGGGGCCGCCCGCCCACACGCACACCTGTGGCGGCCCCGCCGTCGGGTCTCACCTGTATCTGCAGCGGCACCAGGCGCAGCTTGCAGCGCTCGCTGACCACGAAGCCCTTGGGCAGGTCGATGTACTGGCTCCACTCCTCGGCGAAGAGCTGCACCACGAACTTGCGGTGCATGTCTATCTGGTCCCCGTAGAGGCTGAGGAACTTCTGGATCAGCAGCTCGTAGCCGGCGCCGTGGGGCACGCTGGAAGGCCGGGCGAAGACGGAGAAGCAGAAGAGGACGGGCACCGAGCCGCCGCCCGCCGCCGGGCAGCCCCCGCCGCCCGCAGCCGCGACCGCCTCCGCCGCCGCCATCTTCAGGGGCAGCCGCGCCGAGCCCAGCCAGCTCGCTGCGGGCCGCGCCGCCGCTCCTCCTCCCGCCGCCTCCTCCCCTCGGC